AAGAAGTGACAATCATCACATATATTCATTTTTTTTTTAATCTGACATTATTTCGTTATTTGTCGGAAGGCACAATTTCCTTTGGTAGATCTTCTCGATCTAGGTCGGTGGATATTAATTTCACTGTTTTTAAGAAAATAAAACGGGATGTCAAATCAAACATGTGTATCAACTAAAAATAACGTTTCTAATAATAAGATATATATATATATATATATATATATATATATATATATATATAATTATTTATTATAAAAATTATAACATAAATATGTTATAAAATCCACTATAAAATAGTCATTTTATTTCCGCATTCTGGTGTCTTATCAAGTGATGGAACACCGTCACTTGATAAGACACCAGAAGTGTTGAAACAAATGGCTATTTTTGTAGTGATTTTATAACATATTTATGTTATAATTTTCGAATAAATAATTATATTTGCTCTACTCTGTATTGAGCACTCTTTTAAGAATAGTATTTGTTAGTTATTGGAATTTATTCGTATACACCAATCCTATGCTTGATAAATATATATATATATATATATATATATATATATATATATATTTGTGTTTGTGTGTGTCATTATTATTATTATTGCTATAATTATAGATGTTACAAAATAACGTTTCCTCTAATAAGATATATATTTCTTATTGCTATAGACGTTACTTTCCACAGGTATACGTGTTCAAGTTCACACACACACACACACACACACACACACACACACACATATATATATATATATATATATATATATATATATATATATATATTAAATAATATACATAATACATTACATTAATTGCATAACTCCGAGTTTCATGCCGAAGCAATTGTCAAGTGCTGGAATTATTATTTTTATTTTTATTTTAGGTTGACACCGGCTTTTTTATAAAATTTCTGGTTCTCGTGAGATACTTTATTGTTGTAGGTGGAATATCCACAACAATAATATTCCACCCCATTCAATAACGTATCATGCGAGTCCAGAATTTAAAAAAAAAAAAAGCCGGTGTCAAGCCAAAATAAAAATAATAATTCCAGCACTTGACAATTGCTACAGCATGAAACTCGGATTTGTGCAACTAATGTAAGGTATTATGTATATTTCTTAAAATATATATTAAATAGCTCTGTTATCTAACATTGCACTAAAAAGAGTATTTATATGTATTAGTATACGATCGCTGGCCCGTATATCTACCTATATTTATCTATTCGGTTATATATATATATATATATATATATATATATATATACGAAAGAAAAAGTTATAACAATTTATGTATCGTTATATATATATATATGGGGGCGTTTGCTAATTTGTCGTCTATTTGCGCAAAAATAAAAATAACACTGACATCTCATTTTAACAGATATATTTACAAAAATGACACAAAAATATCTTGAAATATTAAAGAGTAATTTAATAAAATCACCATTAGGAACCTCCTGCATCTCTTCCGGGCAGTCTCTTTGTGCAGCTGTACCTTACACATAATAATCTAGGGGGTTGCAGTCTGGGGATTTAGGTGGCCAGATGTAAGGGGTGTTGTCTTCACAGAAATTGTCTGACAGCCATGACTGCATTCTCCTGCTTGTGTGATAAGGTGCAGAGTCCTCTTTCCAGCAGCCCCTCTCTTGACCCAGGGCAGCACTACCTCCTCAAGTTACTTAATGTAGGCCTCCATTTTGAGTCTAAGGCTCCATGGGAAGATGAATCGAAACATAATGTCGCCATCACTAATGATCATTCCAAACACCTTCGTATTCACCTATTAGACTCCATTTCCGAATCCTCTGGTTGATGCCCAAACACTCTGAAATGTTCGTATTGGCGCTTCCGGGACAAATGCCAAGCCGTACATCATACCGTTTCCAAATTTCTGGCGGAGTGAATTGCATCATGGTGCTCTTTTTTCTCACAGACGATACCCAACTTACCCTACTATACTGTGCAGTTGACAAAATCAAAAACAAATAATGCGCTTGCGCAAAATTAAAAATATAAAATGGCGACAATTTACCCATTGCCCCCTGTATATATATATTATCCATTACACCACCCGCACATCCAAGCTTACAGCACCTGATATTCTCAAGCGGTCACGCCCATCATTGTTATTGTATATATATATATATATATATATATATATATATATATATATATATGAAATGGACAAAATCCGACAATTATTTTAAGACATGTTTTATGTTTGTACGTTCTTTTTATAGCTACACATATTTAAGTAAATGCTCTGTTTATAATAAACAGTATTAACGACATTTACCAGCCTGAATGTCCGAGAAATTTTCATAGAAAATATGCCTCCTCCGGCAGGAATCGAACCTGTCTCCTATATATATTTTTTAAAAGAACGTATAAACATAAAAAATGTCTCAAAATAATTGTCGGACTTTGTCCATTTCATAATGTGTTACGTCATTTGCAGATATGACCGTTCCGTATAGCAACACTGAACATACAATAACGTTAACATTTTCTATAAAAATCAAATGCATGATAACTATAAACAAAATGAATCTTCTCTTAGAAACAGAAATACACAACTTCACTCGACAAAAACAAGAAAATTAAATTAATTACCTACTATAAAAAATTAAACTACTAACCTCTTTGTTAAATATAATAATTCATCTTAAGATCCAAATTACAGAGAACCATTATTATTTACGAATTCACATGTCCCTTAAGGAACTGTTTCCCTGATCAATCCAAATCCATAAATAATTATATTGGATATACTACAACATGCCTAACAAGAAGACTCACGTTACATCTCTCCGATCCTAGTTCAGTTAGTATAGCGAAGAAAACGGCGACTTGCCGCATCAAACCAAGCGATAGCGCGTCGCGTGTATCCTACGACGAAAAATGTGACGAAAATTACTTACCAAAAGAAAATGACACGTATTCCGCATGACATGCTGAAGACGGAATATTTAAATTAAAAAAAAAAGAAGTCCGTCGCAGGAGTCGCTATAAAAGTATTTTGATATGCAAAATTTGGGCGTCCTCTCCCAGCTGTCGACGAATGGAAAAAATGCTCGGCCGATAAAAGCAGTTGGTGTTCTCGAATCGGGGAAGAATTTGTGGATTTTGGCTACTGCGTTCGTCGGAGAGTAAGTTATTTTTCTGACTGGTTACGTGCATTGTGATTTGTAAGACAGTACCTGCGAATCGAGTTTTCGGCATTTCTTTCTGCCCCCGATATTCGAGTCTGAACTTACAGTGATTTGTTCTCTGCGACAAATATTTCCTTTGCTTTCAGAACGCTTATAATTAGGTCTCATTCGGGAAACCTGCCAAATTCTATCCGTAACATACACGTTGATAATTCAAATATAATAGCCTCCTCCACATTTTTAAAAAAAGGCTAAAAATAATGGAAGCATTATTAATAATAATAATAAAAGAAAAAGCCAACACTCAATAATATCAGCTATGAACACGGCTACGTGTTTGAAAAATAAAACATTTTTATAACACTAGATACATACATAAAATAATCTATACATTCAGTTCAAAGTAAAAATAAAATCATCCTTGATAATGGCTAAAAATATAAGCTAAAGCGCTTGGTCAAACAAAACATTCAAACAATTTCTACATAATTTACGTCCAAAAAATAAGAAAATTATGAGGACACCAGAAAAATTAAATAAAAACCATAACCACAGTTCCTTGCCAGTCAATTTCAATGAAACTTGTATAAGAAATGAAAAATAAGGATTGCTGCCCAAACATGCATATACATATGTGTGTGTGTGCGCGCGCGCTCGTGCGTGTGTGCGTTTACACGTGGTAATTATTAACTGAAATTTGATCTTAAATTATTGCTGCATAAGGATTAATATTCATCATTGAATTAATAGAGTTGACAGCGAGGGAAAAAATGAATATTTGTTGCGCATAATAAATGCCTTTTTCATCATTAGTCTACGGACTTTATTGATGTCCCCACGAACATGTACCACGCCCTTGATACTTTTAGACCAAATGCAAGTCGAGAAAACTGGTTCGAAAGCCTCTACGTATAATAAATCGACAAGTTCCTCTTTTTTCAACAGATATTTTAAAATTATTTGTTTTATCCTCACAGGTAAATGCGTGATAACGAATATCACTAACCAGGAATTTGAAACAGAATCTCATATGACTCAGCCTGAGAAACCAAGCGAGTAATTCTTCAACGTTCATTTGACAAAAGAGAATTTCACCCGGAAACTTCATAAGACATATCCGATGAAAGGTAGGTGATTTAGATTTATTTAACAACTTTGCGTGGGGCCTGCCCTCATTAACCTTAAGGTGAAAGGTGTAGTTGTTTATTCCTGTTGTTACGACAAACAGATAACATGTACATTTAGATGTGCATGTTGACCAAATCTTTTATGCGAGTAAAGCTATGACAATATTGCCATTACTACCTCGATTCTGAGTAAAAATTGATTCGAATTTCTCGTCTGAAACTCCCAGAAATAAACCAATTGGTACTATGCAATATTCTTGACAATTCCAATACTTTAACTAATCGAAAAGATTAATGTTTTTTTTAATTGTTGATTGATTCGTTTTCTATGGATTATCAACCCTTTGCGGGTTATTTAAAGCCAGAAAATATTTTTAGATTGTAAGAATTGGCGGGGAGCTTTTTTTTATAGTTAATAATGGTTTAGTGATACAAGTTTTACTCATAGCTGGGAGGGAAGAAGTTATATATATATATATATATATATATATATATATATATATATATATATATATAGGAAAGAAAAAGTTATAAAAATTTATGTATAAACTTTTATATATATATATATATATATATATATATATATATAAGTTTATTTATGCCTTTCCCGAGAGTATTTGCTCATAAATGAATATAACGAACCCAACGACAATTGAAACTCGACTCACTCGTTAACAATTCCGAGCCATTATCCATTTCACCTCCCGCACACCCAAGCTTACAGCACCTGGTTTTCCGAAGCGATCATCCACCTAGGTACTGACCAGGTTCGACGTTGCTTAACTTCGGCGATCGTACGGGAACAAGTGTTTCAACGTGATGTAGCCATAATATTTGTTACCGGATGGAATATCAACAATTCGCATGATAGTTCTGTATTTTTTTTTTTATCCGAATGACAAATGCATTTCCTTGATAAAGGCATGAACCCTAGTTTTCTATCTCCTGTTAACGACCAATATATAATCTTTTTTCAGGCACAGCGCAACAGAACATAGAAAGTATGCGGCAAAACATTCCTACTTTATAACCCGGATCTGTTCGTTTTGTCAATGTGAATTTATAGCTTCCTTGTAAAACGAAGGACACCGGAAGTAAACTTAACATGGAATGTTACAGTGAGAAATTTATTTGGTAAAATGATAAAATATCTGTTAGTTTGAATTACAGCTCCACCCCACAAAAATGATAACCGTCCATATACTTTAAATTGAGTCAGAAATGTTTTATGACATTAATAGCTAAGACAGCAAGTGTTCGGGTTAGGGATTCGAAAATTGAAATCAGCGAACAGGGTTCGAATTCGTTACGTTCACTTACGCGCAAATACTCTTGGGAAAAAATGAATCTATCTCTTCTCTCGCCGTTGTCATCAGTTTTTAGAAGTGAAAAGGGGGAAAAACAACTAAATTCCAACATGGAGATATTTCTACGTATTTTTATAACTAATAAAGGATTAACAAAAAGAAAGAAAATGTACTAGTGTGTACTAAGCTGAAAAATAAAAGATGCGCATTAAAAACTTAACTATTAGGAAATGTGTGTGTGTGTGTGTGTGTGTGTGTGTGTGTGTGTGTGTGTGTGTGTGTGTGTGTGTGTGATGCATATATGTGCAAAACTTCAGTTATCAATCGCATGGGGAAAAGAAATTATCCTCAGCGGGAGAAGGAGCATCCGGTACCTTGTCCGCGTTGTCATTCTAAAGGAAAAGCGAAAAGAAAGAGGAAGACTAAATTCCGTCTTTTATACTCCTTAAACAGTGTTTTACCAAAACATGTGGGAGTAATCACCACAAGAGACTACAGTCAATAAATTAATAAAAGTTTAATCAATTGATTAATCTCTTTCTCTCTCTCTCTCTCCACACACACACACACACACACATATATATATATATATATAGTTATATTTAAGTAGCAAGTATTAATCCAAACAAATTTAATTAAATTCAAACAACACGATCTGTCTGTTTATTTTTTATTTTCTTTGTATTTTTTTAATTTTTAAATAAGAAGTTGCCTACTGGGATCGAAATTGTGGATAAACTGTCTGGATAAAATTGTTTCTGTTTAAGTACTTTGAATCGTCCTAGTCATTTTCAAGAACCTTGTGCTGTCTGTGTGGTAGGCAATATTCCAGTGCTTGCATCGTTGTGTTCTTTAGAAAGCAGAAAGTTTAAAATTGATCACGGTGATGTTATGTGCAAAGGTGAAGTGCAGTGGTAGGACAAATAGCACTAAAAAGAGTGCATCAATATTATGCGTTTTATTATTATTATTATCTACTTTCATTTCTGTTGTATACTCATTTCCGTCCGAGAGACTTGAAGCCAGAAATGGCATGACATTTTCCACTCTTCTTCCGCGCAGTTTTTCGTTTTCAACCGGAGTTTTTGTCTTATGGATGTTCTCTATCAAGTAGCATGACCTCAAATAGATAGCACCTTTCACAAAATATTTGAAGAGACAAGTAACGCAATCTTCTGAAGCAATGGGATACTAGGAGTTATTCCGATTTATTTTTTTTTAATATAGGTCTTAAAGGTTTGGTGGTAAGTCTCCAATGATAACTGAGCAAGGCAATTCGACTTGTAACTGGGACAATAGTAGCCTGAACGTCCCACATTCTGGCAACCTCAATCCGGGAGGCCAGTGTACTTTTAAACTTTTCAATTTCAGTTATTATTTTTATTATTATTATTATTATTATTATTATTATCATTCGATTTTTGCTATGGACACACTACCTACCAAGTCTGCGGAAAGACCTAAGGCAGGTCGTGGTGTGTTGTTATGGCCACATTTCATGTTAATTTTTTTTTTTTTTTTTTTTTTTTATCTCCGATGAAGTTGCTAGCGTTACATAGACAAAGTTCTCCTTAGTGTGTGTGCTGTATTTAATAAGACAATTTTCTGTATGTCTCTTAAGCTGGGGTTTCCAGGGATTCTTTCAATGTGTTGTTTTGTTTTTTTATAATTCCAAGTGCACCTATTACCACTGGTATTATTCTTGTTTTCAATTTCCACATTTTTTTTCTATTTCAATTTCCAGGTCTTTGTATTTTGATAGTTTTTCAAATTCCTTTGGTTGCTATGTTACAATGGACAAGCCATATCAATTAGTAGGCAATTTTTTTCTTTCTGGTTTTTGACAATAATGTCCGGCCTATTTGCTTCAATTTTTCTGTCTGTGTGGATGGTATAATCCCATAGAAAACATCTTCTATTTCTGTAACCGGGATTGATGTTATACCAGTGTTTGCTTACACATTTTCCAAAGTGTTTGCACATTGTCCAGTTATTGCCAACTCTATCGTGACGATTTTTATATTCATTTGGGGCAAGTATAGAAATCCTGAGATTAGATGGTCTATTGTTTCTTGGTATTTGTCACAGAACCTGCATTTTGGATCCACATTATTATGTATGATATTTGCCTGAAAATTCCTAGTGAAAAGATTCTGATCTTGCGCTGCAAGAATAAAGCCTTCAGATTATTATTATTATTATTATTATTATCATTATTATTAACAAACAAATTGATTGATGTAACTCTTCCAATATTTTTTAACAACTAGAGAAGAGTTCGGTTTAAAAAAATGAATAGACACGATGTTTAACAATATTTAACAATATTTCGACATTATGTTTATCTTCTTCAAGTTATGTTTTATAAAAATGCATACGAGTATAAAAATATAAAAAATACAAGTTTTTGTACAGAGATTGCGTGTCTTGAGAAAAGCAGTTGTACTGGTAATCAACGCGACAAAGAGACTGAAACGCAGATAGCGTGAATGAAATGCAACTGAAACGTAAGTTTCATATGGGGGTCATAATCATCTTGAAATTTTCAGTTAGTTGGTTTGTTAGTAAGCGAAATTAGTCAAACATTCCCCCGGGGTGGGATGTTAACTTATAACATTAGATAACCCTCATCTTGAACATAAAAAATGAAGAGGTGCGTTTACTATTTTTTAATGAGTTCAACCTTAATGGCAATGATTCTGAAACTACTGCTAGAACATGGGGATAAAGGATCCATTTGCGATCGGATAGTACGGCGCTGTTATCTGAAGTTCCGCAGTGGGGATACGAGTCTTGAAGATTGAGATGGTAGAAGACATCCATTTACATTTGTCTGAAAACGAGAGTCGAACAAAACTCAAGTGAAAGTGTTAGAGAAATGTCTCAGATAATGGGTGTCAGCATTTCAAGAATAAGGGACCATCTCAAATAAATTGGTAAGGTGAAGAAACTCGATAAAGGGATTCCATATTAACTCAGTGAAAGTCAAAGAGTTTGACATTTTGAAGTTTGTTTGATGCTGTCTCTACGGAATTCGAATGACCCATTTCTTGAGCGAATAGTGACTTGTGATGAGAAATAAATCCTTCATGATAATCGTAAGCAATAGGCTCAATGGCTTGATCTTGACGAAGAACCAAAATCTTTCCAAAACTGAAATTGCACCAACAAGAGATTATGGTGACTGTCTGGTGACCCACCATTGGCATTATTCATTGTAGCTTTCTGGAATCTAGCCAGTGGAAAGTCACTGTCGACGTGTACTCTTAGCAAATGAATGAAATGCACATTCAGTTAAGCAAAATGCGACCGGCATTGGTCAATTGAAGATGTCCAATTCTGCTATAACGGGAGAAATATAGGAGGAAAGGTTTATTCCCCATTTAGTATTTTCTCCATTATCGACATTATTATATCTATGATATAATAACACCGTATTTCACGGACGGAAAGGAATGGCTCAAAGGAAAAGGAATTACAAACATGATTTGTTCTCAGAGATACTTTTATACCACTAAGCCATACAAAACTATATATACATATTTACACGTAGAGCAAAGTATAACATATATCTACACAGCAATCAGAGTGAAAGAAGAACGAAAAGATAGGTTCTTACATATAATATGGAGATTCTTCTTTGTTTCTGGAGAAGTCACTCCAGATTGGAACGGGCCGGATTCATCTACTATGTCCTAAGCAAGTACATATTCCGAGAACAGGAAACGGTGAATCTTAGGTTTTCCCAAATTGAGGACTGCTAACTGGAGTTTCTTTGTATATATGTGGAAGATATATTCTCAAAGGGAAAAGGTACTATTGACTTGTAAGCTGCTGGGGGTGGTAGATTTAGTCTCATCCCGAGCCTAGAGTTCCGAGCCATACAAACGACTTCTCGATTGACTACTGCAAACCGATTTAAATTGACTGCCACTTTCGTCACTGTATGGAGTGACATCACTAAGCGACCGTCATGTGACCCACGGAACTTATCTCGACCAAAGGGAGATAATCATTTTTTATCCTCACACGGCTTCATGATAATGTTCGGCCACATATTGTCAGGATGACATCGCAGAAGCTCACAAACTTGGAATATGAGACTTTACCACATTCACCATATTCTCCTGATCTCTCGCCCAGTGAGTATTACTTTTTCAGGCATCTTGAAAAAAATTTTTGCCGAATATTCGGAAAATTTGTCCCGACCCCTACCAAAAATAATTCAATAAAACTTAAAAATAATTATTTTGGGGGCATTTGGTGCTTGCATTAATATAACAAGTTATATTTTCGCTATTGCTGAAATCCATCCCGTTGTTGTTCATAGGAAGAGACTTTTTTTATTGAATAAAGACATGTTTGAAGAATAAAAAAAATGAAAAGTCTGATGCCATTTTTGAATGTGAACCTTTTATTAAGAGAATTTTAATTTTATTTTTCATTTTATCAACACTGGAATTATTTTTTGTTTGGATGTTCAAAAAGGAAATAATTCTAATTTATCGCCTTTATCTACT